CGCAGCATGACGCCCTGACGTGATCCGTCTGTATGATGAGTTGCGAGAACCGTTAGCGGTGATAAACGTATATAGCCACGCGCGAGCGAGCGAGCGCGCCCAGCTTGTCGTAACTTTTTGACTTATGACAAAGTGAGACGGCGGCGGCTGTTCAGCCGTTTCAGCGAATTTCGATCCGCAAAATTAATCACCAGCCACCCCCTTCCGGTAAATAAGCGCGGCCGAATTTCCTCCGTTCTCGCGCGCCGCCGCGGCGGACGAGATGCGCGCGGCTGATATTAATATGGGCGGCACACACGCTTTGATGCACGCGCGCGAATCACGGCGAGGACCAATCAACGAGTCCGATCTCGCGGTAATTAGTAGCGGAGACACTGAATCACCATTAGCCCGAGCGCGAACAATTCGTTGTCGTCGCGGCAACGCGGTAACGTGCAATTTGCGACACGCGCGGCGAATTGCGCCAACGATAACAGCCTACCGGAAAATACACACGTATCGCTGGCGCGAGAAAGGTGCCAGGAGCGGAAAATGCAACTTCGAGCTCTCATTACTAGAAATGTGCGGCGACAAATGAGTTTAACGCAGCTGGAGATTCGCCCGCGAAGCACTCGACGCGGGTAAAACCGAGAGAGAGATTTAGAGTCCCGCCTTGAGAGTCCTCCTCTTGTTGGGCGAACGCGACCGCCTCTCGCTCTAAACAATAGGACGCATTTCTTCCCCACCCCCTTCTTTTCTCCTCTTGCTTTTTTAATAACCACCATGCTCTTCGCACGTGTAATTGGAGTACCGTTGTAAACGACGCGCACGCGCTGCATCCTACAATTCCTATAATAAGAGTCTAGATATCGTATGTCTGATTTCTGGTTGGCTCCGCTATGTTTGAGCAAGCTTCCAGTTGAGATGATGTCAAAGGTTATTTCCCAGCAAGAGACAAAAGCCGACAGAAGCCTCTCTCTAGGTATATCATATATTATCCTTTTTTTCTTACCAAATGCGAAATAAGGATATAATGACAACGAATGATGATATAACTAGGGCTGTGTTCGCGACACCGCATTGAGAATAGAGTGGCATTTGATTGACCAGTCAGAACAAAAAGAAACAAGATTTCTTTGAAATGATTGGTCAATTAAATGGCACTCTGCTCTGAATGTATTCCCGGATGCAACCTGGACTTGTGTCTCGTGAAAAGCAACCGAAGTTATCAGCTAAATGGCAACACAAACAAAGATTTTCCATCTACTAAATGTACAAAATATGTTAAAAGAAAAATGAATTTGAAGCCATTCAACAATTTTACATCAATTTTACGCGAAATTTGGATATTTGTCACCCCCCTTCACATTTTATCACAGAGTATTGGCCTCCTTCCAACACTAGGAGTGTAATATTACAGATGGAATTACCTTCCTCCATCGACATGGAACAGACATAAAATAAGAAAAAAATAACTTATAACTACGTAGTAATAATCATTAGACTGCACGCTACTATCTTTTTCTAAAATACTTATAATTTCTAGGCATAGTATCAAATTAACTGCTTCATTTTATATTTCATTTTATGATCAGATAAAAGTTATGCTTTTAAAAGAATAAATATTAAAAACACTAATATTTTAAACATATATTTTGATTATTAACACGAAACATTGTCAAGAATTAAACATTTTCACCGAATGTGTCACAAGTGCAAACGAAATAAATAACCACGCACATCCGTGTTTACAAATTCTATGTGACGTTTCATGGCCTTTACTCCTGCCATCGCAGACCGTCACGCAAGCTAATAGACTCCCCTCGTGATGCGACGTAATCGTTGAATAGCTCCTTGTGTATGTTTCATATTGTGATTAATCACTAATTTATTTTGCTTTACATCTATATTTTAATAGTATTTGAGTTTCTTGAATTTTAAGCGTATTACGGTCGTAAACTTGCGGTTTAAACCCAAACATGGCGGTGACGAAACTCTTATTACAGGGACTCAACTGCAACCGACATCTGCCGCGTCGAGCTTCGACAACGCGTGCTCGCGCGCCTCTCGACGAGGAGGTTTCACGCGCCCGTTTCACCACCATGTACTCCACCACCGGCTGCTCCTCTTCGCGTGTTCTCCCGCGGACTCTCGCACGGACATTAAATCTCGATTGGAAACACCAGACGGAAACGAGATTTCCCTCGACTCTTTGGAGGAGAACGGCCGCTTCGCCGTTTATCTTTCGCTCCGGTCGCCCGGCTAAAACGGAACATCTCGTGCGCCGAGAACAGCGCCGTCCGCGCCGTTCCTTTGTAAGCGAGGACGATGTGCGCCTATATATATTCGGACAGTGGAGAATCAACTGAATACCAACTAAGAGAAGCCAATCGTCCGTCCGCCCGACCGACTCGTTCTCGCATGCGGAGCCGAGCGTTCCCACCAAGCCCGCCAGGTTCTCCTTCGCGGATTTGCCTCCGTTAGGTGACCAGTGTTCCGTGACCGAAGCAGAAAGCTTGTCTTTGACGCGATCTAAGTGTGGATGCAAATTCGCCGCGTTCGAATTCGAAGCGACGGGCCCGAGAGAGCGGAGGGATATGGTAATTCATTGTAGTTTGTCGGTTAGCGTTTTCGTACCGGCCGTTTCGTAAGGAAACGCTTTCCTTCCTTCGCTCTCGCGGAAAGCTGCAACACGCGATCGACGTTCAAGCGCACCGACATCGCGCACATCGTGATTCACGGGAATTCCTCGGATTTTCTTACGGCAAACGCGAACATTTTCCACAAACATCGACGAGATTGTTTGTCCGGGGTAGATCCGAGTAAACATTTCACGCAGATCCCGGTGTACCGCGCGAGATCGGGATTTATTTTCGACGTTCTCTGCGAGCGCCTGGCTGAAATTATATAGTGAAAATCTGAATGGGGCCGAGGTAGTTAACGTTATCACGGGACGATCTAGTGAGCTTTTCGAGCCATCGAACATGCGCTTCTCCCGGTGTCATTGACACCTGTAAACGCCTAACGCCGGGCAAGTTTAGATTATATAAATGTTGCCATATTAGAGGTCGCATACGGGAGAAGTTATTGGTATAAATACGCGAGAAGAAAAGATAGAGCGGGAAGTCGGAAGTCGAAGCAAAACGGGAGAAGATAGTCGTTGGAAAGAGACGTTATCATTCAAATCAAGCCATCAAGAAAAGCGAGGGACTGCTTTTGTTCTTGAGGACCGGAGGGACTCGGTTCGTGGCTTATCTGGTTTTGATATAGAGCGAGGGACTGCTCTGGGGAGAAGCATATGTATTATTCTATGTAATTGCTCCTATTAAAATGGTCTTTCTTAATTGAGCTCCGGTTTTTGAAAAGAGCCCTCACAACCATCCTCAGACGGAAAAAGAAAAAAAGTGATTTCGCTCACACACCTCCGCTGCTCTCTCTCTCTCTCTCTCTCTCCGTAGAACGTCCTAATATCTCTCTCATTCCGGTTAAACATTCCGCTTCGGGCGGAAGTTATTAACTTTCCCTCGGTCGAGGCTTCATCAGCGGCAATTTTCCTCTATGTTCTGTTGCGATAATCGTTCGATCAATCTCGTCACGTATAACGACCGTAACGTCCACACAGACCCGAAGAGAAGAACGCCGGTAGGCCGGGCGGAGCGTCGGTGCGTTACGGGATCGTTTGGATTAAGAGGGGAACGTCAGAATTCCCTCCCTCCCCCCTTCAAGTTTCCATGCCGGAGCGCGCGGGACAATGGAGTCGTGTGTCAAAGAGCGAAGTTTGATCCGACACAGTTCCGTGCGCTCGTCAAACTTGAGAGCCGCATTCCGGAATTGCCATGTGACGCGGGTGGAGAGAGGGGGGAGTAGAAAGAGAAATAGAGAGAGGTTCCTCGTTACGTAGCACCTCGTCGTTCTGCCGCCGTAGTCGCTTGCGCAGGATTTTTCTCTCCTCTCTTTCACAGACCGTTCCATCTCGCCGAACGACGCATATCGCTTTCCAAGGGGATGACCGTACGTGGCGCGCGCGCGCGCGTGCGACTGTATTTGCGGATGACCGACGGGCGGCGAAGTAAGTGGCGGTAAACGAGCCGCAGTGTCGCCGATATATAAACACCGGGGGCCATTGACGGGCCGCTTGACTCCGAAAGCAGCGTCCGAAACGATCGTCAAAGGCGGGCGAACGCCTTTGATCCGTCGGTGTTAAAATATTCCTAAGCGGGTATCCCCTGGTGACGAGCGCCCGGTGGCGAAAACCCCGGTCACGCGCGACCCCCGTCCGTCGCGGAACAACCGTGTCGTTTGCGCACGGTAATCAACGGTGATAGACGAAAAAATTGCGTCGCGTTGAACCCGACGAACGGACCCCGTCCAGGAACTTTGAAATTCTACGAGCACGCGGCTCAACTTGCGCGAAGCTCGCGTTTCATCGCGAGTGGATGAAGCGTTTCATCTCGGGGATTACAACGCATTTTTCAATGGGAGGCAGGAGGAGCACCTGTACGTAGTAAAGTACGCGGAGTATAAAGGAGGAATAATTTTCTTCTCTCTATCTCTCTCCCCGTATTATCGGCAAATTGTACCGGAGAAAAATAGCCTTCGATATTCGCGCGATATTCGAAGAACGATTCGCCGGCTCGTAGAAATAATATCGAGGCTTATCCCCCACTGATCGCAAGACGGATGATTAATATTACTTAACGCGGTAATGACTCGACGGATATTTTTTCCGTCCGTGCAAGCACAAACTGATCCACCGGCCGATCCTGCCGTCGTGAGAAGAGAAAGACGGCTTTAAATCGCCCAATCAACGCTCCGCGAAGCCACAAGATAGCCTCTTCGACACGATATATCGCGCTCGTCGAAATCTGTTCGATCAGAACCTGCACGGGAGGCGAGTCTCGCGAACACCGGTTGGCTTCGACGACGGGTGGAAGACGGACAATGAATAAAATTGCGGCTCCACGCGGCGGAGCTGCGCCGATCTACGCTAGAAAAGAGGAAATTGTCAAGCAGCCACTTACTGTCCTTCACGCAGAAAGCGCCGATAATCCAGAGAGGAAAGAGCGGCACCACGAGCACGTTCAAGTGTCTCGCATTCGCGTTGCACCGCAGACTCCTCCCGTCGTGCGGCCTAAAGTAAATCATGATCGTTCCACGTGAGACCAACAACGCGGCACGATCATAGCAACCAATCACCAAGGAACGTCGCCGGCGTTCCACATCCACCCCGCACTGATCCCGCTTTCACTCTCTCTACTGGTCCGGACGATGACACGTCGTCTGCCGATTACCGCGACTGCCGCGCATTCCCCCCGTGTCTCGGCGGCTCCTCGGCGGCCGCGAGAGACGACCGTTTGCTCGTTCCTCGGGCGGTTCGCGCGCGAGCACTGAGGCCGCGACGGGTCGCGCATCAAACACGGACCGAAGAGGAGGCTGCGCTGGACCGCATGGAACTCTCTCTCTCTCCCTATCTATCTTTCGACTTTCAAACGGCCGAACGGGACATCTCGATTACTTAAGTCGTCCGTCACTCTCTTCGGGATCGCTTTGTTATCTCACACTTTCTCCTTTCCTTCCTCTCCGTTCTACCGTTTTCCCTCCGCACTATCTTCGTCTACCGCGCGCTATCCAAGTTCCTTCTTCCCGATCTCTCTCTCTCTCTCACCCCCTTTCCGCGCTCGCACGGTAACTGTTTTTTATCCTTTTTTTTAAATTTTTTTTTCTACTTTGCCCCCTCGCCCAACGTTCACTCGCGTTCTTCTCGATGACACGTTCGATCGGCACGTTCCAGCGCTTCAAGCACGACGACGTGATGCGCGCCACTCGGCGTCAGCGTGATTTCGCACTCCCTCCACGACTGTATCGCCCACCGGGCCGAACCGTGCGCGGCTCGTTCACCTGCGGCCTCCGCTGGTGCCGCCACCGACGCTTCGTTGTATCCGCCGCCACTGCCGCCGCCGCGAACCAGCCGATGTCGACGTCGTGGGTCGTCGCCACCGCCGCCGTCGTCGTCGTCGCCACTACCACCACCCACCGGCCGCCACCGTCGATCGAAAAGAGCCCCCCTCCGTGTTGTACGCGCCCGCGCACACGCTTTACCTCGCATGCGTATTGAACGCGACTCTCTTTCTACCTCTACTCGCCGCATCCGCACGCGCCGCTTCCTCATGCTGATCGTGCGGTCATCGTTTCCCTCTCGCGCGAGCCCTCCGCTGCTCCGTCCGCTTGCCTCCTTCCTTTTGCTCGATTCTCTCTTTGTACGGTTAGTTTCCTTCAATCACGCGTCGATCTCGACGATGCTTTCGGGCTCCTCGACACTTCTGTTCCCGTACCCCTAATGTTGTTTGTAAATTCCCCCTTTTAGGCGAGGGTGAATTTCTCCTTCGTTCCTTTTCCTCCCGTGGAACCTCATCTGGCGAGTCAAAGGGTAAGCTCATCGACTGGTCGAGCGACGAGCACTGGTCGGAACAAGTGCGAATGCGTGTGAAAGGGAGGGACTTTCCGATGGATTACGAAAGCGCGGATAAATTCAAGGTGTTACCTCGTGTTACCCCTAAACGCACGAGAGTACTCGAAAGCGGCCCATGTACGGTTTTAGAATTCGAGCGGTATTGGCCCAATGTCGGCTCCCGACACTCGGCCCAGTACTAGCATAATATCCAAATAATAAGATCGACCCAACGTGTCGATACGACATCAAGCCAAGGTTGCGTTGCAAGATTGGTTAACCGTGCTTGAGCCGATGTCGCAATAGTGGCTTTTCACGGGCGGAACTTCCAGTGTCAGTAGACAAGAATCAGCTAACTTATTTTGGGCCCATCGCACCCCGCGGTCGCAGTTTGCCGTGATATCGCCAATCATGTCGATCCGAGAATATCGGGCAGAAATCGGCAAATCGTACCTGGTTCATTATAAAGAAAATTGGACGCGACTTTACTCCTCCCTTTTCAGTACACCCGGCTCTTGCCCTTTACGCGTTACCGTTTGATGTGCACGAGAGCACCCTTTCTTTCGCTCGCCGCTTTTACGATCCTAAAGTCGTGTTCAACGAAGAATGCAGCTTGTCGTCGATTGAATGTCTAGACAGAGAAACGAGAAACTATCGAGTAACCTTACCTCTCTGTCCAGTTATAAACGCGACCGTCCGGATGCGCGTATAATGACCTCTCTCATTTGAGTGACGCAACAAGTGACTTTAACTATCCGTAGTTTTGCGAATTTTCATATCGGCCTGCGTAACAGTCCGGCTTATATCCGGCCGTTTTTCTCCTCTTTGTCGTACATAGTAATCTTTGCCGCCCTCCTCCCTCGCAACCCCGTTCTTTTCGCCCTATAACGGCGCTCGATACGGAAGTCAGTCTGATAGAGAAAGTTTTCTAAAGAGAGGAACGTATGTCGGGGAAGGTCTTTGAATGGAGATGAAAAGGACCGGAATTTCCGTTAATTTTCTCTCTCTCTCTCTCTCTCTTTCATCGGTAGTTGTGTCTTATCGCCTCCTTGTTGGCCGGATACGCTGATCCTTTTTGTTTCTTTTCAAATGTACCGTTAAATTGTCAACGCAATTCCGATCACGAACAAATACGATGTGTATGTATGTGTACGTGTGTGTACGTGCGTGCGTGCGTGCGTGTTTACGCGCCTCCAAAAAATATCACGTGATAAAATATCGGTCTTGCGGCCAGCGTTGAACATTTTTACAAGCGTGGTTGAAATTTTTATAAGTTATAAACATACGCGCGCACACACGTATCTTCGCCAGGTAGCCGCATACGCCCCGTACACGGAACAATTTCCAGCTTATTATGCCAACGTTACGTTTCATAAAAAGAATCTTACGAATTTATAAAATACTTGGAGATTTGAAAAGAGCTGCTGAAGATTTATATATATCTTAAGTACGGACACATAGGTGTAAAAGATGGCGGAGGGAGTAATTTTTTTTTTCGGACGCGCGGTAGCAAGAAATATAGTGAAAAGAGAGTATTTAGAAGCGTTGCACATTCGAGAGAGGGAGCCAAATATATAATTGTTCCTTCCCTTTCTCCCCAGGCGCACTGCGTCTTTCTTTTTTTTCTTTCCGCCATTCTTTATATGTTCCCTTTTTTATTCGTTAATCCTTGCTTTCTCCTTCTCTTCTCCGCCCTTTTAAGATGATTCCCTTGTAACGTGGCCCGGAATTCCTGCGTGCAGCGAGAAATTCTCGAAAAAAAAAACAAAGAGATACTGCGGCTGTATAAAGAACACTGGAATTCGTTACCGTCAAGGAACGTGCATAGCTTCGTCGTATCACCAACGTCGTCTGAGAGCTTAAAAATCGTAATAATCGTCGACGGGTTGAAGAAGTCGCACGCAACGGATCATTTCGAGCACAGCAGTGCGTCAGATGCAAATAATGAGATGATAAAACGGCGGAAATGGAGAGAAAGAGAGGGGGGGGGGGGGAGAATAACGCAAGTATCGTGGAAAAACATTCACGCGACATCGCCTCACTGCACACGCTCCGTCGTAAACGCGAACGTTCACACACTCGACCTGTAGCGATAATCGCTCGAGCGTGCGCGCACACGTTCCCCAATGTCTATTTTCGCGCGTGAAACCGTATCGGCTTAGGAAATCCCTCGTTTTCACGAGAAACAGAGCTTAATTTATACAGATTATATTTCGCGGGTATAATTATTACGCGCGGCAAAATATAATATATATGGATCGATATATCGCGAGAATATGAAGCCGAGGATCGGATCGCGCGGTAACTCCTGCAATTGCTGGGCGATTCGTTGACTCCGCATCGGCTTCGCACCGCCTCCGCCTGCGCGCCGCTAAGAGCTCCGCTAAGAAATGACGCGCCATCAAATTCTTGGCAGCGACGCTATATCCACCGAAAGCAGGCGATGAGGACCGTCGAGGTTGAAGAACGAAATTGGACTTCCTAGGGGCGCGATAGTACGCGGAACGAGCGGCGCAATTTGTCACGGATGCGTTTCACATTCATTTACAGATATGCCCCTTGCGCTGGTATCGCGAATATTGGATTTCGACCGTCTGAAATTTCCTTTTATTCGCCGCTCGAAGGTGTGTGTGTGTATGCCGGAGGTTGTTGTTCGATCGATTTATTCAACGCGTGTGATATAACCACCGACGGCGGGGTAATTCGGCGTCGTTGTCGTCGTCGTCAGATTTAGAGAGAACTCGGCGCGATTTCGTCCCATGATTTTACGATCGCGCGTGACGTTATCGCTTTTAATGGAGTGCAAATTGTTTACGCGGAAAACCGTGTTAAACTGCAAAGCTGGATTCTTAGCGGCAACCATGGCGGGGATATTTCCGACGCAGTTCCCGTTGGTTTGCGAACAGTCGTGCACACTACTACAGTTATTTGAATTCCGGAGATGGGTACGAATATTTGGTATGCGGGCAAAACGTCTTAGATTCAATTTTTCGCAAATGGGTTCCTCATGGTAGAGTGCAGAGAAGGAGAGAGAGAGAGAGAGAGAAGGAGATAGAGAGAATCTTTCTATATAATATGGCATGAAAATTTGATGCGAAAGAAATTGGATTTAAGCTGTAGTGCTGCGCCAAACGCATCTGTGTGCGCGATATATTGCCCGAGGGAGCGAGCGCGTAGTGTGCCTCGCTACTGCGATGCTAAACGATATTAACAAGCTACACGACTCGGTCCAATTTTTTACGTCCCGACGATTTGTGAATTGCAGTCAAGTCGTGCGAATCTATACCCGTGCGCGGGTGTGTATCTATATGCATGTATGTATGAAGAGAGGTAAGGGAAAAGAGAAAGAGAGCGAGCTAGAAGCGAACTCGCGGGAAAGAACCAGAGGCGAGAAGGCCAGCCTATTAATATCGTTAATGATAAAAGAGAGAGAGAGAGGGAGAATGGAGATAGAGGAAATTTTAGTAATTTTTTTTTTCTCAAACTACAACTCTCGATACGAGTCCGCTAATGGATTAGTGAAGGCTTGCGTCCCGATGCACCGCGCGCGCGCCCAGCTTCGCTTCAATTTGTGAAACTCCACAGTTAATGGACTCGCGCCATATCGAGCTATTAAATTCTGTCGCATGAAAACGCGAAAACGATATACAGGTGGATTTTGTTTACTGCGGATTAATGCGACCAGGGTTAGTTCGCGCACGTGAGCGCGCGAGCAGGCGGGTTAGCAGCGCAACGCGGATTTTATCCGCGGAACGTTTAATACGGACGCGTATCGCGCGCGCATTATTATCGTGTCGTCCGCACTTATGTCGCCGACACACTCATCCGATGACATTATTATCGAAAAGCGTTTTACCACGGGGAGCACGTTCACTCGCTCGCTAACTCCTCTCACTCGTCCGCTCGCTTTTCGCGGATAAACGTTACGTGTGGCAGCTATGCTACCTGTGAGACCAAGGGAAAACGCAGCGAGAGAGCTCTCCACTCCGTCGTTAAGCGATAATAATAGGCGTTGCACATGCTCCCGGCGAGGGACGAAAGAGAGAGAGAGACATACGCCAGCGAGAGATACCCAGGAGGAAACAATGCATCCCGCCGTGCACGTCAATAAGACCCACGGAATCTCGTTAGCGCTCTGAATCCTCCTTTTTTAAGGCTGCGATATGCATTAGCAAGGTTCAAGGCGCGCACAGTGATGTATCAGCGTACAACTGCCGCACCGGCTGGCCGTAATATCGTTCGTAATTTCGTCACTATTAAAATACACTAGGTCGGGTATGCCGGCCGCGTCCGAGAGTGTGCTCCGGCATGTAAGGAGTCGCAGTCGACGACGCCGAGTTGAATTTCGCGTTACCTCTTGTGCGATTCTTGCGCGGAAAAGCGCCGGCGG